GTGGTTACAATTTTAGAGGAGAAGGAGGAACGATGTGCGCTCAGCTGCTAAACGGGAGATCGCGCGGACGTGAAAGAGATGTGCATACGTGAACGCGGTGCGTGCGGCGCGCAATTGCCGGCGTTATCGCGCAAAATATTGCTGACAGAGAAGAATCTATTGACGGTGAGCTCGAGAGAGAGAGAGAGAGAGAGAGAGAGAGAGAGAGAGAGAGAGAGTGAGAGTGAGAGAGAAAGAAAGAGATATAGAGAGCGCGCGGCGGCGGCGGCGATGGGACGCGCTGGGCGACAGACGCCGTTCCGTTTCGTAACGTCGCGAATTCGATTTGTTTCTCGCACGGCCGTGTCTTCCTATTAGCGCACCGAGAGCCGTATCGCTCTCACTCCGCGATCTCGCAATTTCCATTACGTAAATCTATCGTATAACTATTCGAACGACTTTACCACCTGCGAGCCACTCGCGCATACATCGGATTTTATTTCGGTCCCGGCGGTGGTATGAAAAATTAATGGGACACATCGCGCGGTCTCGAGAGCTCGACAGAACTCGCGCGACATCCTCGCCGAGCCACTCGAAGCCTCGTGTATTCGCCGACCTCGTTGTTAACCGCGCCAATCGTTCCCGCGAGCCGACCGATTTCCGTCCGCGTCTCCGCGACGCCCAAGGTCCTGCGGCTCTCCTTTTATTTTCTCTCATTCTCTCTTGCCCCTCCCCTCTCTCTCTCTTTCTTTCTCTCATCAAGCCTTCGAGGGGTTGTACGAGCGACGGAGTCGCGTGGGTAGCGCGATTATGCGGTTAGCGGTTCCTCGTTCGGCGCATTTCCAATTAACGAGAGGATCGAAAGGCGAGAGAGGCGAGGCGAGGTGAGGAGAGACGAGGCGAAGTGCTGCCGTGGGGTCAATTTCGTTATGCAAGCCGCAGCGAGCGGAGCGGGCGGGCGGGCGGGCGGGCCGGAGTCGATCCTCGACGCGAATCCTCAATCGGGAAAAACGAAGTACTACTCGCCGGAATTGAGTCGACTGTTACATCGGTCGAGATTATTTCCGTTATTCCGGCGAACAAACCTCTCGGATCCCCTTCGCGACCGGCGAACGAGTCCGAGCGCGGGAAGTCGATACCCACGTTCGATTACACGACCGACACTTGTCCTTACCAGGGACACTCGATGATCCATCGTGGCTATCTTTCGTGGGATTTATCGCGTCTCGCGGTGTATCCGGCGGGAATTGTGTCCTGCTGTGTGTATAGTCGCGTTATGGCGAATGAGAAAGAGAGAAAAATAGCAAACATCGGACTGGGAAAATACGTCGAGCCGCCGGGAAACGAAAGTATCTCGTTCTTTTGGATCGAAATTTTGATCGAAAGCTGCCCATCGTCGACCCGGTTTGCGCTCAAACTTTTTACGTCGCGCTTATGCACGCTCGCTTTCTCTCTCTTTCTCTTTCAGGTAATTTCCTCCTTTCTCTCCCCCTCTCTCTCTCTCTCTCTCTCTTCTCTCCCTAAAGGGATCCTTGCATCTAACTGGATCTCGAAGCAGCTTCCGCCTTATTTAATTTAAACTTGTTTGTCCGACGCGCAAAAGTTCGCTATCGGATAAGTTTCGAGCGTGCCGATGAGCCGCCATACCGCTTATATAATTATGAATATTAATTTTCCGTATCCGACGCGCAAATGCGCCAGCCTTTGCCTCGCGGACACGGGGAAAGTCGCTCGATATAATCCAGAAATTGTCTTGACCGCGAGGCAAAAATGCAGGGAGAGGAAAGGGAGGTGGTCGGTTTATCGGCAGGGCTTGCAAAAATTTGCGGGCGAGACGCGAATCGAAAGATTAATGCAATCGAAACATGTATTTCAAATTATACTTTCCTAAATAACCCGGTCTCAGTTGAGCTTTCGAGCAATTAATAGAAATGAGTGTGCCGAGAAACGTACTTAATAAAGTAAAAATGTAGTCAAAGGTTCGACGAACTTTCGCGAAGCCTTGACGGAGATTAGCGTGTCGTGAATTATTTACCGCGGTAATCGCGGTTATATATAAGCGGCTGTAATTAGACATCGACCCGCGTAAAACTTAATTCGCCGGAAATGTGTGAGACGGTATCTTATTAATGATCAAGCCCTGCGACTTCGGGGCGGGCAATATCGCGTTTAAATTACACACAGAGACAAATGGCTTCCGTGGCATGTGCGCGCGCGCGTACGCGCGCGAGAGAGAGAGAGAGAGAGAGAGAGAGCACACGGTGCACGAAAGATTATATCTGGAAATTATTTTTACGCGTGTACGCGCACGGCGAGCGGTGAATAATTCGATCAGTTTCGCGGTTTTTAAATTTTCGAGCGCGAGCGCGATATCACACGCGAATAACCACGATACGTTTGTGCCCGGGTCGCGTACATTTTCGATTGTCGGATCCGATAGGAATTATTTTGCGCTGACCAATTAAAATGGAGCCCGTTGTCCTTTGACGGGAACCGTCGATGGCCAATTAGCCGATGAGAAAATTGAAAGATTTTCCATTTCATGTGTCTCCCGCATTTTTGTCCTCGCGTTGTGTCTCTCTTTCGTTTATTTATTTATTTATCTATTTATTTACTTTTTTTTCAATTCGTTCCCACGGGACGTGCGTTGTATCGCCCCCAGCCCGGCGAAATCTGATCAGCTAGAAATACGCTGTGTCCCCCGCACGCGTCTCGTTGCACCGTCGACGTAATGCCGTCGAGTCGCACTCTTTTCCTTCGTCCATGAATTTTTCGCGTCGATTCTTCTGCCGATCCTGCGAATCTTCCTTCGCAGGGCCGAGTAGCTCAGCAAAGCGTACGTTATTCGATAAGAACGGGGAGAAAGCGAGTCAGGCAGGAGGGAAAGACCTCCGTCCGTTAACACGCAAACGAACGAGACGCGTGGCGCATGCCGTGCATCCCTCCACGATTTTTAAAACACGGATTCTTTGAAGTGAAAGGGAGCGTAATTGACCCACTCGTCGAGCCGTCACGCTCCGCGAACAGATAACATCGATAATATCTCCTCCTCCCTCCCGGCCGCTGGGGCACAAAGCGTCGACGATCAGAGCGCGCGTGCGCGCTTCGTGTCACGCGATAGCGGCGCGAACACGTGAAAGCGCAAAGCTTAATAGCAATTCTGCTATATTCAACGGAAGCCATCCGTTATGCCGGCCAGCAGCCCCAGCGTGTAATTATGGCGCGTGTTACAGTGTCGCGGGCCACCGACGAACTTTTCATTACGACTCTTTCTTTTCCTTCCTTTTTCCATGCCCTTCTCCACCCCCCCCCCTCCTCGTCGTCGCTCTGTCGTCTGGCTGGTAACACACATGTCGAAATAATTGCGAGCGAATTATCCGCCTCTTCGGGTAGCCGACTTCGGTCGAAGGAATAGCTCGGCTTGCAATTTTCTGCCAGTCTCTCTCTCTCTCCCCCCCCCCTCTCTCTCTCTGCCTCTCTATCTCTCTCTCCTGCCGTTGTTTCTGGCCGGGTCAGGGGTCTCGTCTGGTCAACGACGTCCAGGGCGGCGTCGGAGGGTGGGATTGGGGGAGGTAGTGGGGGATATTTCCTTTCTATCTCTGTTTTTCACGAAGATTGATCGAACGTTGCCGCGGCCGCGACATGTTACCCACGCGCGCGATTCGTCGCGTTCCGGAACGTATTCCGGAAGTGGCGTTATTAATGACATCGTGGGGCTGATTGCTTTTCGGCGCGAGGCTACGAAGTCTCACCCCGCCCCTCTCGTCGGGTCTCCTCTCCCTCCTCTGTAATCGGTGAAAAATGTTTCAATTTCGTCTCGTCCAGAGTCTGCTCCCATTTTCGACTGGACCGAATAAAAAAAAAGAGAAAGAGCGAGAGAGAGAGAGAGAGAGAGGGAGAGAGCGAGAAGGGGATGAAGCGAGGAGTGATGAGAAGGGGGCGGGGAAGTTGCCGGCCAGACAAATCGGATCTCGCGTCAGTTAAATATTCGCTCTACCCTCTTCGCGGCGAGGAAATATTGATACCGATACACACAGGCTACGTGTGCCGTTGGCGTGACGAGGGGGGAGGGGAGGGGAGGGCAGGGGAGGGGTGGGCAGGCAGAGGACAGGGAATCGGTGGAAAGTATCGCGCCGCCGAAATTGACGGGCTCTTGCATATTCATAACGCAGGGGGTACCTCGTTTCGCGGTTATTCGCGAAATTTGAGACATTGCCGTGGAAAATGCTCGGAACTTTTTCGTACTTGCGTAATAGCCGAACGAGCGAACGAACGGACGAACGAGCGAGCGGGCGGGCGGACAGGCACAAATGATTCGCAGTCGTTATTTTACGGACGAATGAGGAGCGCTGTGGGCGCGCACGAAAAGCGCGACTCGGACGATACTCCCTTTTTATAGCGACGCGAATCGCGTGCCGCGAACAGGGATGCTCCCTTGCGCGTACCACGGAAATTGGTCAGTCGGTTCCGCGAGTGTCGGAGGAACCCGATGATTTTCACGAATCAGAATGATACATTCGGCCGATTTCGCGTGAAATTCGTTCCGTTTCGTTCACTCGTCGTCTGTTGTGCCTCTTGAATGTTGTAACGCGCAATCTCGCGAGTGAAACACTCAACTACCAATTTCATCGAGAGCCGTCATGTGTCTTTCTCCGTTATCGCGTCACCCCGAGGATTCATTAACGTTACTGCTATGAAACTTGACGAAACGCTCACGTTTCGCTACCACCTGCTGTTATCATGCCGCCGGCATCTCTCCCTCTCTCTCTCTCTCTCTCTTTCTTGCGTTTTTCTTTCGGCGAGAGGAAAGAAAAAAGAAAGGTTCGCTCGCTCGCTTCCTCGCTCTCGCGAGTATAAGGAAGCGGCAACGTCTGCAGCCAGATAATTAGGATCACCCTCTCCGGACGGAACAAAGAAAAAACGGGGGGAAAAAAGAGGGAAATTATTTTCGCGAAGTAGGTCGGCGCGACTCCGCGTGCGCGCCGTTCGCAATTAGCGTTAATTGGAATGAGTGTACTCACTGTTAAGCTCTATGACGACAGTGGTGCTGGGTGGCAGCGCTAATTGAGTGTTATTCGCTCGGCAGGACAGCTTGGCGTGATGGTGCCTCCTCGTGAGTGCCTTCACAGTCACGTTGCTGATGGTTACGACGCTGGTCTCGCCGTTTGGCCCTTGAGTCTCTCGAATCTCGGTGGACGCGTGAATGTTCTGCGAATCGAGATACCACGAGACCTGCGGTCGAGGCTTGCCTGCGCGGACAAAGTGGCGGTGCAATTAGAAAGACGAGGGGAAAAAAGGGGGAGTAAATGGAAGCGGAGTCGCAGACGCGCGCGTTTGGGTTAATTGAACGTCGAGCGTCGCGAGACTGCCGTCGAGTCAAACGACGCGACTTGGCGCGGCTGGAGCCAGCGTCCTTACGGAGCTCCGTAAGGATTCATAAAGAATTGTCCATAAAGGATTGCGTATCGCCAGCGTGTTAGGCGCGGGGATTCAAGCGGCCGACAACATTTCGTTGCAGAGGGATTTGCACGGGGGAGAAAGATTCGCCGTTGTGACTCCAGCAGCAGCAGCTCGCTCGCTGAAATTCTGTTCCGTGGACTGGAAGCAATCCCAAAAGGACTCGCCGCAATGACGATGATAGTATCCGCGGGATTTGTTCCGCGCCGATTACTCCGTCACACACGATCTCTTCGCGGCGAGTTCGCACGGCTGCGACATGAGATGTTGTTCGCTGAGCTATTCTGATCCGTTTCTCCCGTCTAACAAGTAACAAAGAAGTACCCAACTGTCACTCACCGATTCCGAATGAAATTTGGCATGCACGTAGAACAGTGAAAAATATTGAACGCTTGTTTTTTTATATCGGCTGACAGCGCAATTTTAAGGGTGGAAATCACTCCTTGATTCCTGAACATGAAAGCACTATTTCAACCCTTTGTACATATTACATGTTACATGTGATTTCCGTCAAACTTGTCTTCCATTGAACTAGTCAGGAAGGTTTAAAGTCGCTGATTACGAATCTGGAGATAAAATTACAAAATTCAAGATGGCGGAGTATGACAGATGGCGGAATATGACGCAATATGACAGATCGAAATTGTACCAGTGAAGGAGGATATTGCCTCAGGCAATTACATTTACTGAATTTAACAATGAATCGGTATTCAAAATTGACCTGTCGCGTCAGTTTTTTTCAGATTAGGAAGTTGGTCTTCCAAAAGATTATTATCCGTCAGTATCCGAGCGGAATATGTAATGATATTCTGACATACCTTGATAAGATATAGATATAGATATCTTGATCTCTTATGCCTTATATTTATTCATTTATTTTTATTCTATTTTTTTATATATTTATTCATATTCATTCATATTATTTAAATGAACTTCTGAACTTGAACAGCAAAAAATCTATTAATGTTCAAAACGTTAATCTTAACGTCCAGAAAATTTATATAATTAATATCCTTGAAAGTTTACAATAAACCTTCTTAAAAATCTTACAAGTAAAACACGTTACAATAATAATAATAATAATAAAGTGCGACAAACGAATTATATTTTGACTTCCAACTTCAGATTCGTAATTAAACCTCCAGATACCAAAGTTGGTTTGAATCAGCCATCTTTTTATAATTTCGGCCCGCCATTTTGCATTTTGTAATTTCATCTCCAGATTCGTAATCAGCGACCCTAAAAACCCCTTACTGACTAGTTCAATGGAAGACAAGTTTGACAGCCATCACATGTAACATATAATATGTACAAAGGGTTGAAATGGTGCTTTCATTTTCAGGAGTCAAGGGGTGATTTTCACCCTTAAAATACGTTGTCAGCCGATATAAAAAAAACAAGTGTTCAATATTTTTCAATATTCGTGCATGCCAAGGTGAGTGACAGTTGAGTAGTGTTACTTGCAAGTGCCCCTTACAGACATCGGTATCACGTGACTTTAGACGGAGGAAGAGTATCTCGTTCGCGAGGCAATTCCGCTCGAAGAACCGCCGAAAATCGAAGATCGAAAAAGTATCCCCGTCGAGCAGTTCATTGCCCACTTGGACCCGTTGAAATTCCCGCAGGGGCCGAGGGCGCGGACGGATGGGAGGATTGCAGAGATCCGTTTCGTCTTTCGTTTCGGATTTCGTTCGTTCCAGGCTCGTCCCGCGAGCGCTATCAGCCCGGCGGCATCGAGCCTGCGAAAGGAAGCTCCGGAAGCCGTGGGACATATCGGTGCCGGCAAGCCGACGCCTGTCGTTACTCCGCGCTGCCAATGAGCCGGCAGACAGCGAGGGTGATTTGAGCGGCGCGTCCGCTCCGAGGTCGCTTGTCGACGGATGTCGCCGTCAATCACGTCCGGTCCGGCGTCCGGTCTCGGTTGCGGCCGAAACAATCACGTGCGCGCGTTGGCTGCGAGCGAGCGTTCTCACGTTCGCGTTTCTCGATCGCGCGCTACCTGTGGCTCGTCGTCTCTCGCGTTAATTACAGCGAAAGCGAAAGGCGACGGCCACAGGAGTGCATCGAAGTCGCCATCGCATCATCGTCGACCGTTCGCTTGATTAATTAGAAAGCTGACTCGCCACGTTTTCCCCGGGGCACGCGTAAGGAAATCGGAGGAGAGCCATGGGGCGGGACGGCGCATAGTGTTGTCCGTCGTGGGACAGACGGGCAGTAATCGCGAGTGGTAATTGTGTACCGGAAGGGCTCGCAATAAAACGGCTCCGACAATGAGAACGAGAGAGATTCGGGGTTCCGATTACATATTCAGAATTACTCCGAGACAATATTTCCCGTTGTTCGCTCAAGCTAGCCACTTCCACCCTCCCCGCTCTCTCTCCCGGCTCTCTCTCTCTCTCTTTCCCGCTCTTTGGAATATGCATGTTAATGCGGAAGTCGTATTTGGAGATACTTATCTCTGGTAACTTTTTGAGAAGAAAATGAACTCATTTTCCGAAACTTGAAGCGCACCGGGAGCTTTTGGTTCTTCCCGAGAATAAAACTCGGTGGTAATTTCTTCCAGTGTTAGTCTCACGCAAAGATGCATGAACTTTTGGAGAGAGAGAGAGAGAGAGAGAGAGAGAGAGAGAGAGATGATTTCATTAAATTTGACATAACCGACACACGAATTACACACGAATTATACACGCGCTTTGACTCCAGAGACGTCTTGTAGCGAGCGCCGTAGCAAACAAACCAAACCTGCTGTGCCGTCAAACGCTGCTCGATATTAACCGATCCGCGTTGTCTAATCAACAGTTATTCCAGCTGAGGCGTCTCTGCCTATCTAGTTCGTAGACAGCTGTCCGTTGAAGCTGTCTACATAGATATCTATCTAATCGAAGGCTCGTCTATATCGTGTATATCGCGTGTATGCCTTGGCAGAGACCACGATCGTTGACACTGATAGTTAGTTAGAACGGTAGTAATTAGAAGCGGCTGTTTGCTCGCCATAGAGATCTACATTAATAATCCGAAGCCGATCCCATTTGCATAGACCAGTTCTTGGTAGCATATTGGCCTGCCTTGTGTGTTACGCATCTGATCAAAGACCCGGTCAATCCTCCTCGCCTTGCACTTTGACCCGCGAAGAAGTCCTCGACTGGATTTCAATACCGAGATGATGATATCCTGGCATAGAATTCTCTCAGAGTATAAAATCCTCTCGTGGCGGAACTTTTGTTTTCGCGGAAACGGCATATACACAACGGTGTGTATATCATTGCTAATGTTAATATTCTTATTATCACTATTATCTATCCATCTGAATACTCTCGCTGGGTTTAAACGAGCAGATATTAACGCGCTGGGCTGTACAGACAAGACAATGCCGAGATTCCGGTGAAATTGTGTCTCGAGTGATCGCGTCTCGACCGGTACTTGGATCTTGATATTACGATTTGTCAAGAGGTCGGCCCATTGTTTAAATTTCGAAGGATTTCCTTCGAGACAGGACGCGCGTGTCCATGTCCAGCAAAATTGTATATCTCGGGATATTGTCTTCTCAGGAAATCGTGTCATTTTTTAAATCCCGATGTACCGTTTCCGCGACAATGCATGTTCGCCACATCGGTTGCTTTGATCGATGACTCCATCTTCGGCTGCGAGATACTTTCCCACAAAATCCGTCCGCGACGACCGCGAACGCTCTCGCAACGCGGACATGCATTCCGCATTTTTAATCGTGCGAGAGTCCGCGCACTCGCATTTCGCGAGACGGGTAGAACGCAACGGATTCGGACGTTGCCGCATAAATTAATTTATCAAACGACTCCTCCTCCGCGGGCGCTCTCTCTCTCTCTCTCTCTCTCTCTCTCTCTCTCTCTCTCTCTCTCTCTCTCTCTCTCTCTCTCTCTCTCGCTGGGAACGAGAGTACAGCGAGCGACGGGCGAGGCCGGATGCGCCGAAAGAAACAAACGCAGGGTAATCCTGCGTGGGTGTTATAGCGCGATACGCGTATTATCTACAATCGCGTTAATTTCTCGGACACAATGCGCGGTAATCGCATTAATTTCCCCGAGTACACGCTCATTAAACAATAACCAGGAAATGAACAGGCTTCCCGCCGCGCAAAATCGAAACCAACCCGTGCGCACAGGAAACGCGTCTGTTGCGTGCTGGATGACCCGAGGAGAGTTCCTAATTAACACGCGATGCCATGCTCCAAGCGGTGCGTGCGTATGTCGCGTCGTCAACCGGCGTATAAGCAACAGACAAGCGATAACGTAAATTCCCGGCCGGCTATTCGAGACAGAACGGCTTTTCCGCTCTATCTCAACATCGTGCACTCTCGTGCACTTTATCGCACCGGTGGGAGGAAATTACCGGCTCCCGCTGGTAAAATACGACGTAACGATAATAATACTAATAATAATAGTGATAATAATAATGGCAATGACAATAGACAAACAACACAACGATAACGAAAAACAACGAGCGCTCGCGTTCGCGTTCGCGTTCTCGCACCGCCACGCCGCCGCGGACTGCGAGAATGATTCCGCGTCGCCGCGGGAGACGAGCCCCATTGTCGTCTGGAAAAAAGGAGCAGGCTGCGATAGTAAGCGTATTCGTTAAGTTCTATGCTATAATTAATTCCGCCATCGAGACCACCGTTTCCATTGTTCCCCTCGGGATAATTCCCTGCCGTGCCGCGGGATACAAATATATTCCGCCGACGCGCACGGTTCTCGCAGGGCTTTTCCCGCAGTCCGTTTCCTCGCGTTTTCCAGCGACCGCGCTTTAGAGCGCAGCC